AACCGTGGCTCCAGCTCTGCTACTGCACCAGCACAGTCCTACCCTCTGCTACAGAGCTGAAATGATTTGTCACCATGGACTCTGCTTCCGTCACAGGAGACTCGTATTGAGGCTGTCACGTGCCCTTAGGTTTGAGGTAAGGCATTGGTGACACGGAGATAACGTTTCCATACATTTCTGGAGGGATCCACTGCTGGAGGTGAGTGGCCCACAGGAGAGGGAAGCACTGTCACCTGCCTTGGCAGGATATGCCAGGTTTGGTCCAAGGAAGGCAGTGCTGGAACTGTGAGCAGCCAGAGATGGCTGTGCAGGGCTCCTAGGCAGCAGAGCTCCAAGATTTACTGCCATGTGCTGCTGCACTGGGGGAGCCCTGCAGCTGCAGGCCAGCAGTGCTGAAACTGGCTGGTTTGGGCACAGAGGCTCCCAGCACCTGGTATAAGGTACAGTCCCCTGGCACACGGCCGGCCAGCGCCCGCACACGCTAACCAAGCCTTGGCCGAAGCAAGGCCGGCTGTTAACGTGGAAAAAAGCAAACACCAAAACATGTTGCCTGCTGGTCTGCCCCCTCCCTGCTGTGTGATTGCACAAGTTGTACCTCTTGCATAGCAGAGAGGGCAGCCACCAAACAACCCATACTGTGATGGCTTTGTTGTGTTTTTTTTTTTTTTAATTCAAGTCTTACTCTTGCTATTAAGTTTACACTTTATACTTGATGGAATGTATGGCTTTGTTCAGGAAACTGCACTACAATGTTGCAGTACTTTCAGCAGTTCTCTGCCTGGCACAATATATTTTGATAGTTCAATTTTAATTGGAAAAAACCCCCAACCCAACCCTAACCTATCTTGCCCTCTGTCCTAAAGGAGTGGATCACGGCTTGACTAGCACTTAAGCTTGGAATACCTGTATGTAAGGGCTTGATTTTTATTATTCTTAATCTAACACTTAAAGCAGCATCAAATAAATAAAAAAGCACAGTAACTAACGTTGAAGGAGAGGCATGAGCGGATTACTCTTTCCAGTTTGAGAGTTCTGTTCCACTTCAGGTGTTTGCTGGCAGTGCATTCAAATGAACTGTGATAGTTTTGTTCAACAGTAACCTTCTGTACAGGCAGAAAAAACAAATCCAACATTTCTGCTTGAAAAGCTGTAAAATATAATCTGTTTGCGTGGGTCTGATCCTGTGAGCTTCACTATATGTGTTTATATTGATGAGGAAATGAAAATCAGTCCTATTCTGTATTTGTACTACTGCTTGTTTGCTACAATAGCTTTAATGATTTCTAGAGATTAAGTATGTGTTGAAGCAGGCCCTGTAGCTTTACCTACAGCCTGGAATAGGATTATTGCCTTTTATTCAAGCCTCCTAAACAGTGTCACTCTGTTAGTAAACCATTTTTAAGTCATGCTGGGACTTTGTAACCCATCAAGTGGATCTCACAAAGTGATGTGAAGTATAATTAAGTGATTGTGGCTCTTTTGGTAGGTTTGGGTCAGCACACAAAACATTGGCACAACTTCCGTATCTGCCATTTGCCGTTACTGTTACACGGACAAAAAGAAACCTCTGTATTACGGCAACCCAACAGTTCTAATCACGTTCTCAGAAATGAAAGCAAACTTCTCTTCAACTTACTGTCACATGTTTACAGGCAAACTGCTATGGCAAACAGTGTATTTTCTAACACTAGCTTACAGAGCATTATTTTGCAGTCATCTAGTTTGAAGGCAAATCTTACTAATGTGTAAAGTAATTCCTGTTGTACAGAAGTTAACCTGTTGTTTAAAATTAATGGTTAAAAAAAGTGCAAATGACAAATACATGTTGGTGTTTGTATGGGTTTATCTAGAATAAAAGCATTTGGAGGTTAGTTTGATTGTGTACTTTAAAAAGGTTAAAAGAAAGCAAGAACAGCTGGTAACAATCCAATCCAAGGTCATGCAAAGAACAGAGTGGCATCAGATGAGGAATACCTGCTGCAGCTCCAACCCCGCAAGGCTGCAGGGCAGAACCATGCAGGTCAGCACAGCACAATTCCATCATGCTGAAGTTGGGAAGTACAAGAAAAGGATGCTGGGGAGGGGATGGTCTAAAACCCAGTGGCTGCTGAGCAGTGCTGCCACCCTGTGCGACCCAGAAGGGACCCCTTCCCCTGTCCCCAGAAAAGAATGTGAGGTGGTACAGAATAACCTCCATGTCCTAACCATGGCCCCTCCTGGCTACTGCAAAAATTAACCCAGTCCTGACCAGAACTGGGACAAATCATACTTCTGCACTGTATGGAAAATCAAAAATGCAGCCTCTGAGAGAGAAACTGAATCAGTGCCAACATCACCATATGCAACGTAGTTATTCTGCTCTCTGTTCCTATAGTCTAACAGCAATACCCTATTATAAGAAATTGCAGTGTATTCTCACTGTCCCAGACTTTTGCTCCAGTATTTTGGGGGGGGGAAGGGAAGAAAAAACACCCAAATACAAATAAACAAACAAACCCCAGATCAAATAATTACTACAATTCCAGGAAAGTCATCACTATCCAGTAAAAACAAAATAAAAAATTAATTTAGGTTCACAAGTTTCTATTACTGAACTGATAATGAATGGGAAAAAATTTAAATACTTTCAACCTTGAATAAATAATTTTATTGTAGGTAAGTAAACAAATTAGAGTGGCAACAAATGCAAACTTACATTTTCATAATGTGAAGGCAATTTGTTACACTTATCTCTGCTATATTATATTAAAAAAATTATATCCTATTCCCAATTTAACAATTCAAGAGGCACATTCTCAAGGGTTGCAAATAAAAGTTTTCAGAACTTTTAAAATCTCATTTCATCCTCTTTATGTGCATGGGAACATCAAAATAACAACCCAGATGTGGACTACAGCATTGTTAATGATGGTAACAGCAACCCAGAGTAATGTACAGTAACTAATACATTGAAGAAGAGGATATTAGCAAGTAAGTTTTAAAGGATTTATAAAAAAAAAATAATTTTTTATTTTAAATGGCAGGTATTTTTTCAGCAACCAATACCTTGCTAAATATTTTTTTTCATGGGTTGAGATTATTTCACGTTTTGACTTTGTGGAAAATTACTGAAAAACAAAACTTACCAAGAAGGAGTGCCTGCCTTGGCAATAGTTCACAGTCTCATGGAATGGTTAGGGTTAGAAAGGACCAAAGATCACCTAGTTTCACCCCCTGCCAATGGCAGAGACACCTTCCAATAGACCAGATTGCTCAAAAACCCATCCAGCCTGGCCTGGAAGACTTCCAGATGGGGCATCCACAGCTTCTCTGGACAACCTGTTCCAATGTCTCACCAATCTCATAGTAAAGAATTTCTTCCTAATACCTAAGCTAAACCTCTCTTTCAGTTTAAAACCACTGCCCCCTTGTCCTGACACTATGTACCCATATAAAAATTCCCTCTCCTTTTTATAAGCCCCCTTTAGGTACTGGAAGAATAATGTGGTTTCCCTGAAGCCACCTCTTCTCCCTGGTGAACAACCCCAGCTCTCTCAGCCTGTCTTCATAAGAAAACTGCTCCATTCCTCTCATTGTCTTGGTGGCCTCCTCTGGACTCGCTCCAACAGGTCCATGTCCCTCCTGTGCTGGGGACCCCAGAGTTGGATGCAGCACTCCAAGTGAGGTCGCACCAGAGCAGTGTAGAGGGGGAGGATCACCCGCCTTGACCTGCTGGCCACTCTCTTTTGATGCAGCCCAGGACACAATTGGCCTTCTGGTCTGTGAGTGCACACTGTTGTGTCCAGATTTTCATCCACAAGAACCCCCAAGTCGTTCTCCACAGGGCTGCTCTCAATGACTTCTTCTCCCAGTCTGTACTCATGTCTGGGATTCTCCAAACCCAGATGTAGCACCTTGCCCTTGGACTTGTTGAACTTCATGAGATGCTTGTAGGCCCACTGCTCAAGTTTGTCCAGTTCCCCCTGGATGACATCCCTTCCTTCTGTTGTGTCAACTGCACTGTGCAGCTTCCTGTGGTCTGCAAACTTGCTGAGGGTGCACTTGATCTCACTGCCTGTGTCACTGATGAAGATACCAAAGAGCATCACCCCCCAGAGCCAACCCTGAGGGACACCACTCATGACCATCCTCTACCCAGACACAGAGCCACTGATCACAGCTCTCTGGCTGTGCCCATCCAGCCAACTCAACAGCCCATCCATGTCTTTCCAGTCTGGAGATAAGGATGTCATGTGGGACAGTATCAAAGGCCTTATTGAAGTCTAGACAGATGACATCTGTCAGTCTTCCCTTGTTGGCCATTGCCATCACTCCACCACAGAAGGGCACCAGATTGGTCAGGCACCATTTGCCCTTGGTAAAGCCGTGCTGGATGCCTTGGATCATCCCCTTGGATCATCTCTTTGTCTTTTATGTGCCTTAGCACGTCTTCTAGGAGGATCTGCTCTGTGGTCTTCCCAGGCACAGAGGTGAGGCTCACCAGTCTGTAGTCACGTGGATCATCCTTTCTCCCTTTTAAAAAACAGGAGCAATGTTTCTTTTTTTCCAGTCACTGAGGCCTTTGCCTGACTGCCATGACTTTTAAAATATGATGGAGAGTGGCTTGGCAACAACATCAGCCCGTTCCCTCAGGACCCTGGGATGCCCATCATCAGGTCCAACAGACTCGTGGCTAATCAGCTTCAACAAGCCATCCTCAACCTGCTCTTTGCTTACAGTGGGAGGGAATTCACTGCCTCTACACTCACCCAGAAGATCAGGAATTTGAGAGAAGTGGGAAGTCTAGTTGATCAGGAACAAACTGTCTGCAATTGAATCCCAAAACTGAGCCCAAAAACCTTGTGATGCCAAATATCACAGCACTGGTAACTCGAATTCAGGGAGCGTCTCCTTCATGGATGGCAGCCCTAGATATAAAACGTATCTTTTTATGATTCCCAGTGGTAAAAGGTATTTTTGACCTTAGTCTGAATAGTTAAACAAGTTGAGCCACAAAGGGGTAACTATGCAGAGTATATTTGCTTCTATTCAGGCACATCCAGGCATGTTTTTGGCAAAATATTAAATGCACATACAAAGGATAAGTTATTGCAAGTTAAGAGCATGGAGACTTGCAAATTTATTTAGAGTCCTCGCTTTGTGCTTCACTTTCTCCAGTGATCTTGTTTCTTGCCAAGTCCCTGTACGCATCCCCCATTACCCGCTCTCTAGGTGGTCCAAGATCTTCCAGCTGTTTTCTCTGTCTGGTTTCTAGTTCTTCCAACCTCTTGCGAAGCAGGGAAAGCTCTCTTTGATGCTGCTCCTCCTTGGGGAAAAAAAAAAAAAGGAAAGCAGCACTATTACATTTTGCACACCTACAGAGGACCAAAATGAGCAATAATTTAATTCTTCAGTGAAAATAAAAACAGTGAAGTCCAAAATATCCTTATTTGTTAAATTTTACTCATTAGTGTTTTGTGGGTATTGTTCTGACATTCATGATAAACAGCATCAGCAAGAAATACAGCTGCAACTGTTCCTCCTCTCAGATGAAAGAGCACACAAACCTGAGGTCTCATTAACCAAGAATCTGTGAAATCAACCTGGTCAACCTCAGCCAGAGAGATTTTCACCCTCAGAAACTCAGCGTAAGACTTTTAACCCCATAAGAAATCAAGAGCAGCAATACTGTTTTGTAATAATAAAACCATGGTGTGAGAATAACACTGTGGTATTTCTTTCTCAGAAGGAGCCACTTAAACCCTCTCAGGAGAAGGACAAAGTATGGAGAACTGGGTTAAAACTGCCTGTTTGTTACATTCTGTAGCATATCCTTTGTCTTTCAAACACTCCTTCCTATTGCAAGGAAGGGAACATCTCTAGATATCTCAAAGTTTCCTTCTTCTGTTCAAAGATAAAATACTCTTTTCCTTAAGACTAAGGTCTGTAAAGAAGGACTGTTCCAGTACCCTCTTTTGTTGTACTGTTTTCACAACCTGTAATATATCAGCACCTGAAGAAGAGGGAAGGACACTTCAGACCCAGGAGGCAGGGCAGACGATGGCATTATCCCAAGTGGATTGAGTGATGGTATGTTAGGGCTCAGAATTATACTCCGGAATTCATTGTGCCGACGTTGCAAGTCCTTTAGTCTCTTCTGGAGGCGTGCATATTCTTCAGAGGAAACATTCTGCCTAGGAAATGAGAGATTTCTTATTGCTCAAAATCTTTGTTATCCCAGCAGAGCAGCGTACCTCTCCACGAGTGCTCTGCTGTTTACTATCCCTTGTTTACTACCTATCCCAATATACCAGAAGAACTGGAAGGTACTGCATGTCTGTCTAAAAATCCCTCTACATATTAAGCTATCTGCTGTATTTTAGACTAGAATTTACATAGAATAAATTAAGGTTTTAATACCATTCACAGAATTGAACCACAGGAGCCACAATAAATTAATTATTCAAATCAAGTTCTCCATAGATGCTCAATGAAGAGAAAAAAACAGGACTTTATCTTTCAAAGAGGAGAATTGCAAGAGTCTGTCCCTCTTGCAATTCTGAAGTCTTTTTTACTTCCTTCTTTTGAAGGGATTCCTGCAAGTGTGTCAACGAGGTATTTTTCCTCTCTTCCCGAAGACACAGTCCTGCAGTTGTCTTACAAGCTCTCAGCTGCCCATCCTAAACAGAATCTATTCAAACAATTCTAGTGATGAAAAGGCCATTAAACTTGACTCTGATTACTAAAGTAGGTGACGTATCTTCAAAACCACTTCAATTTGTAAGTCAGATTTTGGGCATATACAATTTTTCAAGCTAAGAAAAAGCAAAGTTAATTACCTAATTAACATCTGATTTTGTTTTTCTAGTTCTTCCATCTTGGCTTCCAAAAGTTCTATTTTTTCACGCATCCTCCTTTGTTTATTGTCATTGAGAGTCTTTCTCTGTCAAAGAGACATTTGAAACAGCTAAGTAATACCTTGATAGATTAAATCCTGTAAAAATTGAATCTACAGTGTACATAGTTTCAAGCTGTGACACTTTATAGGATTTTTCTTCCTTAAGAAGAGGAGCTGTGTTGTTTGAAGGTGCTTGGATTCCCATGATGGGAAACAAATGCAACCTGCAACTGAAAGATGCACAGCTGCTGGTGACTTGTTGGTTAGTGACCAACCGTACTGACAAACACCAACTGTATTTGATAATTACAAAGCTCATTCTTTAAATGATCACATATAAATAAGTATAAACATGACCAGGAAAGTATGCTTCCTTCTTTTAATTTTTTTTTTGCTCGTGTTGACCTTAACTTTTTACAACCATAAAAGCTACTGGTAGGTTTTATAACTTGTATACGTTCAAAGTATAACACTGTTAATTAATCCTGAGCTTTTATAAACAATTAATCTGCCTTTCCTTTCAAATTATTTCAGAAAAAGCAAGTTTAGAAGAGATAAAGTTTTAATATTTCATCAAGAAACATCTGAAACATCATCCTCCCTAATCAAGGGGTCCACCTCTTAAATAACCATAAATACACACATGTATGTGCAAAGAAAGCCTCACAAAATCTTTGATGGCATTATAAGGAAGTTGTTGGCTGTAGTATACTTTTACATGCCACTTCAACCTATCTCTATGCTGGTTTAAAGAACCCAATATATTTAGTTATTAAGTAGACTGCAAATAAACTTTAACATTGAAACAATTCTAGCTGGCCAACTTAAAGCTGAAATTTTCAGAAGCTAGATCATTCATAAAGGAAGAGACAACATGCCTTTTTCTGAGCAACAGCAGCTCGACACAGCTTGTTCCTCAGCTGGTTATATTTCTCTTCATAGTCTGTGATGCACTGAGTAAGCGTACGCTTCTCCTGCAGCCATTCCATACGCTGGCATTCTAAAATCCTTGAAAAATCAGGTTAAAAGATTAGGAGGTTATACAAACAAAGCAGTACGCTCAGTTAATGCCTTAAGATGCTTAAAATAGACACATCTTTTCACAGCTCTTACCTTTATATACTTGAAGGATTTGATTTAAATTTGATTATGCTAACAATCTAATTGTGACTAACAACATTTGAACTTGCACATTAGTATTATTTTAGGTTTTGTTCAACCATGAGGTAAATTCTGAAAAGTGATTCTAATAAACTAGCTAACTGTTGGTATGCTACCAAACCACCCATAGAAAATTCCTAAATTCAGGTCAAACAATCACACTGGAACACAAGACTAGACACCTATGCCAAACATCAGTTGCTAGAAGAGCTGACAACTCAGTTTGGGAGAACAGCGTGCTGCCCTATAGAGCCTCCTGTGTCTTAGTAAAAGACTTGACTAGAGTGTGCTCCTGACCAGAATAAACACCAGCTCAACAGGAAGCTCCCACCAGTATGGTTTCTAGACAACATTCCAGCTGAACACACACCACCAATGGCATATGTTACCCTTTTAGATCTTTGCATGGTTAAAACATACTAAAATTAGGCTGTGTTCTCTAGCAGTAGATAGAAAAGGAGCCAGTTTCTCTCTGCTCCTTGTTTGTTTGGGCTATCTGCATTGTGAGTCAAAGCAGACAAGAACTAACTGCAAATTTAATTACATTACTCTTAAAGACTAAAATCAAATGTTGAGATTCTATGCAGCAGCTTCTAAGAAGGCAAAGGCTTGGTATCAGTGCATCCATACTACTCTAGTCCTGGGCTGATGCAGTTTCCCTACAGGGACTCTGAATGAATCTCCATAAACTTCTCATCAAATGACCTTTCCCTTCCCCACAGCAGAAATATTAGGCATCACCCACTCGTGTTGAAACCGGGGTCCTGGCCCCCATGGTAACTGTCACAGCTCTTTTAGTAGATCCATTGTGGCTTGTACCTCACTGATGACTGTAAAGTACTAGTTCCTAGGAACCAAAGCACTTTTGACAAGCACTGCGTGGCAGTAAAAGGATTTCAGTTGAGGCGGCAGTTAAAAATGCCATGAGTTGGGTATGGAGTTTTTTGGGAGTGTTTTTTAGGGTGGTTTTTTTTGTTTGGTTTGTTTTTCAAATGCCACTAACATTGTTTCTGGAATGCTTAACAAGCGCCTGTTTGAGTTCATCTCTGATCTGTATCAGTCTCACAGTTTGCCTTCAGCTTTTTTTCTCATTTCACAAGCCTAAGATTGACACAGGCACCAGAGCTGAGGTTCCCCTGGTGGTGCTGCACGTGGTGCAGACCATGGTGGAGCAGCTGTGCCTCTGTGGCCTATGGAGGACCATGGACTGTGGGAGAGGAGCCCATGCTAGAGCAGGTTCTCCTGATAGGACTTGTGGCCCTGTGGGGGACCCATGCTGGAGCAGCTAGTGCCTGAAGGACTGCACTCCATGGAAAAGTGACCTGCACTGGAACAGTTTGTGAAGAACTGTTGCCCATGGGATGGACTCAGGCTGGAGAGGTTTGTGAAGGACTGTCTCCTGGGGGAAGGACCCCATGGGAGCAGGGGAAGGACTCCTCTCCCTGAGTGGTGGCAGAAACAACAACTGACTGTAACCCCCATTCCCATCTCCCTGCACCGTTGGGGGGGAAGAGGTAGAATTTGAAAGGAGAGAGAGATGGGGAAAGGTGGTTTTAAGATTTATTTTACTTCTCATTCTCCTGCTCTGATTCTGTCAGTAATAAATTTAATTAATATCCCCACTTTGAATCTGTTTTGCCTGTGATGGTGATCAGTAAGTGATCCCTCCCAGTCCTTATCTCAACTCATGAACTCTTCGTTATATTTTCTCTCCTCTGTCCAGTTGCAGAGGGGAGTGAGAGCACCTTTAGTGGGTACCTGACATCCAGCCAGGGTCAATCCACTACATCATTTCAGGCTAACTGCAAATTAATCTTTGAATTCCAGGAAAGTGTTCATTGCTATATGGAATCTGAACAAGATTCAGTTCCTGTCAGCATTTATTATCATATTTTGATGGTATGTGGCCAAGCTTGTGCAAAAAAAGAAAGTGATTATTTTTAATGTTGATGAGAGGAATTAGAAGATATCCAATAAGCTTTTATTTACCTCATATCAGTGGGAGGTGAAAAGAAGTATATACTTGTATATACTGACTGGATCCCTGAAACATTATCAAAGCATACTACAATGCTTGAATGCTTTTTTTTCACCCTCGCTGCTTAAACACTCTTAAAAGAATTGTGTCAGAAACTCTAGATCCACTTATAGAAGTCTGACATTCCCTTCAGTATAAGTAGAATTTCATTTTATACATTTTGAAGTTACCACGAGCAAAGTTTTCATTCATACTGTACAACAGAACATATAGCCATTTTTTACAACTGTCCAATATTTCCTGTTCATTTTCACTTTCTGACCTTACTTAACTATGCATTGTAAATTATGGATAATCTACGTGAGAGGAACACAAACAACATAAAAAGTAAAGCCAAAAGAAAAAAATTACTTCTCTCTTTCCAGTTGAGCTTTCTCTGCCTGCTGACATTCTTGTTTCAGTCTTTCTATTCTTTCCTTCAACTTCTCATTAGACTCCAGCAAATCCTTTTCTGATTGAGAAAGTGAGGCAAGCTGGAGTTCCATGTTGTACATTTGCTATCAAAAAAAGAGAATTTTTTCCATTTGAGAAGATATGCAAATAACTGGCAATTCATTTTGAGATACTGAGACAATGCAAAACAGAAACAGCAACTAGCTTTAGCTTTTCATTAGCCTATTTTACTTGTCCCTTTTCTCCTTGCCCAGCAGTTTCTCCAGAAACTTTACAGTAAATCACTTCTAGACAAAGAAGGTTTTCTATTATACTTAAAATGAGAAAGTGAGGCAGGACTCTTCAGTCATTGACATGACCCCCCCAGAACTTCAGAATTTCAACATTAAGCCCCAGGGCAGAGCAGAAATAAAGGACCACACAACATTTAGTAGCAGCCCTGTGGAGCTACCCAGGCTCTCATAAAACAATGTGTTACAACCAGCAGTGACTTGCACCAACCAGTTCACAAAAATAAGGAAGCACAGAGCTTGAAAAATCCAACCTCTGCAGCCCCCATATAGAAATGATTTCCCTTTCCTTTTCCTCCCCCACATGGAAACTTAGATACTCCAATTTCTGATTTCTGGAGGAGAAAAACAATTGCCTTGAACTTCAAGTGCACACAGCTTGCAGAGTACTTTGATGCACAGCTATTGTTACCTACTAAATAATATCACGGGCAAGCAGCAGTTAAAAAAATTAGGTTTTATTTTCAACACTGTCATCAATTGACTCTGCAATAGAAATATACCTCTTTACACTAGTTTGTTCATTTATGAAACATCTGTTAAGCACTTGAAGAACCTCAGATGAGAGATGTAGTGTAAATGCAAAGCATTACCTAGAAACACTTTAAAAGTCTCCATGGAAACTGAATCTCCAGTTAAAATAGTGCATAACCATATTCAATATACCAGTCTATAAACATTCAGCTTTGAAATCCCTGGTACCCACAAAACACATGAAGCAAAAAGCTGTAATTCATTTATAAAGGTCCAGGAAAACATAATTTATTTCTGAACACATCTCCTTTGAAATATCCACAGTATGCATTTTGTTCCTCAGGAAAAAAAAAAAGCCTTAAAAATTCAATCTAGTCTTCAAACACAAGGACATGGTAACTACAGGAAAGAATGTACTTCTCTATAAGAATTACAATGCAATAAAACCTTACCTGTTTCTGATCAGCGCTTTCACGTTTCCATTCTTCCAGCTCTTTTCTCTGCATAGCTTGCTGTTGAATTTTTAATCTAAAATTCCATAAGATAACCTTATTTTTATCTAATCAAAATACAGATGTCATAAATCAGTCTGACAAATAAATAGCATTATTTGAGAGGCTGATAAATATTTAACTAAACAATGATTAAAAATACTTTTTTATCAATTATTAGAATTTGCATAGGAGTAAAATACATTGATTTGTATGTTTTTGGAGTAGGACTTTTGCTCAGTTTATCATAACGACCTTCATACAAAACTACAGTAACCTAAGTTACCTCACAACCATAACAACCTACTCCAAGAGACATCATATTAGGGTCCCAGCTTGCCAGTTGCTGATATGGTGCCTTTGTGGAAAGAGAAATGGTTTATGCTAACACTGGATCTATGCCAGCAGCCAGCATGGAACCAGCTTTAACAAATATGTATTGCAAAGTTATGACTTAAAAATTTTCATTGAAATTATATAATTTTTAAAGGTTTGGATGAAAAATTTTATTTTTTTAAACAGTTCGTTTTTAATTTGGTTCTCTTTTTTACATTATGCAAAAGGTAATTTTGTTTAATCTACTATAATGAACATTTCATAATGAAGATTTCTGTATCTATGAATAGTAGACTTTTATACTGCCTACTGTAAAGAAATTAAGGAGGGAAATGAGAAATTTGTGCTAAGATTAGAAAAGCCACACTACCTCAAACGCTGAAGTTCCTTTTTGCTAGATTCTTCTGCCATCTGTGCAGCACGTAGTTTCTCTTCATACTGATCCTTTTCAGACTGTCTCCAAGTATCTTGTTCCAGTTTCATCTTCTCTAGATCAGCTAATCTGTTCTCAAGTTCTAACCTACGATGTTATTCAACATGCACACAAGAATCATTACAAAATGCCAGAAGTGTTTACCTGTTGAGAGTGACATTTTTAAAAGTAACTCAAAACACTCCTCTTTTAGAAGTTGAGAAGTAAATCAACAAACATACTTTTCATTCTGTAAGGCTGCAATATTGTCAAAACCTTCCTCTTTGGCAGCTTGCACTTTACGAATTAGCTCCCGATCCTTTTCTACTAAAAGCACTTTATGACGTTTAACAGCTGCCTTAAGAATTTCCTTGTCGGACAGCAATCCTGCGTTATACATTAAAAAGAGTTAAAATGTCATTACTGATACAATTCAGTATTCAAATAACTTTATAAATTCATAAAAGGGAGCTAGAAATCACAATTCATAAGACAGAATGAACAGAGAAGGGGAAAAAAACAAAACAAGAAAACCAGAAGAGATGTGGCTTCTCTCACTATAAGAGCAACATTTCGAAACTTCTGAAAAGTACTCTTTATACTGGAATCTCTGTCTATGGGAGTTTATTATTTGCATATACAAAAGTAATTAAACACTTAATGTCATTACAGATTTAAACTCTAGAGCAATTTATACTAAACAGTTGTTTCTGGATTTAAAAAAAGAAATGTTCCACAATATGAAAAGGTCAAGCAAGAATATTTTCTTTTTCTGGAAAAGTTTACAGTAAACAGTAACTGGGTACCAGTGAAACCATAGTAACCAGGCTACAACAAATTTCACATTTTAATCCACTTATACTACCAAATGAGGCAATTCTGAAACTATGACTCTATAGGCAGGAACAAATGATCCAAATTAAAATCTTGTGACTGAGACACCTGTGTTCACTGGCAAATAGGCCAATTTGCTCTAACAATGACACCTGGTTATTTAACTAATTCAGTGATGCAAACTGAATTCCACGGCAAATTCAGGGTAGCTTAAAACTTGTCTATAGTTTCATATTTCATAGGGCCCAACATTTTTAGTTTGCAATATACTGTAAGTACATTGTCAATACAGAGAACAGCACTTTCTTACAGTTGCTCTTAGCGAACTTACTATTAAAGCAAGTAAACACAAACAACTATTTCAGGAAGACAAAGGTACTGTTTTGGAGTTATAGCAAATCAGCGAGGACAGTTCTCTTTAAAGCTGTGTAGTGATTTAAATCATCAACACACAATACTTCTAGAAAGTTTTGGCCTTTTCACTCCAGAAAGCTATTTGAAGTTGCCAACATACTCAGCTGCATCAGGTAGCTTAGAACATTCCCTATTTCCTTCAAAGAATGAGCTAGAAATTGCATTTTGTTTCCCATGGCAGTCTTACCAAATTGGTATCAATTCCACGGACACAGAATCAAAACCCAAACCAACCACTGAAGACCTATGGTACTTATAGTTTCAAGCCGAGTGTGAAAGACTCTAGAATTTAGCAATGATAGAAAAAATGACCACATGAAGCACATGATTTAAAACAGATTATACTGAAACTGTGACACAAATTCACTAATTTACATGAACACAAAATTGTTCTGTAACTGTTCTCAACCTCACAGAGCAAGTGAAACCACACAGTTACTTCAGATACAAAATGACTTGTCAGATCTATGACCTAGACCAGAAGCAGAAGGTGAAGACTGCTGTGGAGTTTTCAGAGGAAAAATAGTTTTATTATTGTAACTAGAAGTTACAAAAGAAATAGTTGGAAAATAATTTCACACTTTACCATCCATTTCACTTTGAATCTTGTTTTTCTCCCTTTCTACCTCACTCTTTGTTCTTGCTGCCTCCAGTTTGACATTTGTTACTTCCAATTTATGCGAATGTTTAAGTTCTTCTACCTATGAATTAGAAAAAAACACCACCAAATCAACTATATTAAATTTATATATATTTACTTCCCTTCTGATGAAAGATCCCTCAAAGTCAAGCTAAAATAAAGTTAATCTCCATAAGTAAAACAAAAGAGTGATATCCAAACCCCAGTTATCAATTGCTCCCCTAAGTAATTTCAATTTGGTGACTATTTATAGTCCCCCTAACCTCCCAGAGTGCTACACTACATTCTCAAAATCCAGGTCTTCATAGTCTTAAAGTGCATTTTAAATCACATACTTCTCTATAGACATATCAAATGGCCTCATAAAAGCAGAAGCTTTAAGAACATTAAATCAAAGAAAATTACTGCTTGCATAGAAACTTTCTATAGTTTAGGCATTGGTACACAGTAATTACATGGTCAATGAGAATTAAATATCTAGAGGAAAGGACTTATAATGAAAATCTATTCACAGTGACAAATGTAATTACAACCTGCTAGCATATACAAGTGGCAAAAGGTTAAGAATGACACAGTACCTTATTAAGTAACTACATGGTGGATTTGGTTGCTCAAATACTAAGCTGAGAACATTTCAGGGCAACTTGCAAAGATTTAAGGTGGCATTTTTAAGGCACAAAATCCAAAAGACAAACGCGTGCACCTGTGCTCAGGGATAAGTTTGAGTGGGTGCAGAAGTGGGTGGAGGTTACTCTAGAAATTAGTTTCTACTTTCCTCCCTTCGAGAAACACCACTGAACATTTCATTTTGCCCTAATTCTGGAGGTGAGCAGAGAAGACCAGTTGATACAAAAAGAAAAGACTGTAACAATCTTCTATATATTCTCAAAGACAATTGATTGAAAAATGTTTAATGAAAGTTTTCCCCTCCTATTTAGTATTCATGTGGGACAAGTATGACACTTTAGATAGAGAGGCTTTAAATAGTGGCACAGCTATAGCCTATTCTCATGGTAAATTGGAACTTTTTTTTTTTAATTAAAGACCAAAATTAAATACTTAGCACTCATAAATGTGCACTGTAAAGCCTGTTTTGAATTAAATCTGAGATTGTTAAAGAACAACTATGGTTGAAGTTAAAATTTTCTTCCTGTATTGTACCTTTCTTAATTATATTATGATAAAATTAACTGCCATACCATACAAAGTGCATGTTAGTGTTTGGAAAGTATACTCAGAAAATCAGGATAGCCTTAAGTCAACAGAGAAGTTAAAATGATCCTGTATTCAGCCAGATATACAAGCTCAAAGTTAGTGGCTTTACAGTTACTTCAGAACTACCTAAAGCCTCTCCAGAAAGGTAAGAAAATACAGGGGATTCAACTTGTTACCAGGAACTGACAGATGTGATAAAGAATTATTACCAAATATTCTCTCCAGAAAGGAGGGAACAAAGGACAGAAGAAAGCTTGTATTTACCCAGGTAACTACTTCAGTAGGTCTAGTATCCTGACTCAAATTTACACAGAGCAATGTAAGTATTGTACAACACTTGAAGGTCAAAAGGTTTACCAGTGTTTTTACTTTCCTTGGTTATTCAAACAATCACATGTAAAATTGCATAAAGGATCTGTCTCTTAAGATGTGTAACTGAGGAGTCACTGCAACCAGATAAAACTCTCAATGTGGCATCCACACTAACCAAATTATACTGAAATATTAAACAGTGATGTCAGGTTTCTTAAGCAGTTTCAGGTTTTCCCTAAACTTGAAGCCTTCTGATCTTTTTTTTTCCAAAGTGTTTTTCTAGAAATTTCTCTCAGATCTCAAAAAAAAAAAAAAAAAGGAAAAGGAAAAGCATACAATCATAGAACTAAACCTCTAAGATCTCGTGTCAACCCAACAACTAAGTTACTCAAATATGTTGTAAGACAATGGTCTACTTAAAATGGTATGATGCAATCCTGTATTAAAATATTTCTCTACAAGCTGTGCTGGCACAAGCCCAACAAAAAGGCTATGCTAATGTGACTACCCTGCTTCTAATATAACCTAAATCTCCACAAGTAATTCCAATGCTTGCTTCCTGTACCTAACATAGCCCATTCAGAGAATACTTTTTAAGATCTCCAGAAGCTCCATTAAAAAAAAAAGGGGGTGGGAGAAATTCAATTTAAATCTCTAATGGCTGGCTGTTTTCATAACCACTAAAAACATGAAAATAAAGACCTCTCTTCAAGTCCTGTTCTGTTTAGGAAAAGTAGGAAAAGGACCTAGAAAACTAAATAAAAAGAACATAACCTTAATCTTAGAGATAGTTTTATGTATGATGATTCTCCTGTAAAGTCACACATTCTATATCTTCCAACTGAAACTGAGGGGAAAATTCCAAACCTATTTTAAGTCACAGCAGAAGATATTTTTACTTTATTCTTAGTGTAAAATATAAACAGAAAAACTTAAACATAACAGGATAGGAAAAATTATTTCAGATACCATAAAAGCACTTACTTTAGCAGCTAAGGAACTGACTTCTCGTTCACATTTGTTGAGTTTGCTAGTTAAGACAATGTTCTGCTCATTACTCATCTGTAGTTCTTTCTCAATTCGATCGACCTGCAGTTCAGCAGACTTCTTTTCTGCCTTGAATGAAGGAGGTATTTGTAAGATTTTTGGAGCAGGGTTACAGCACTGATAATAGTAAAAAGTAAACCATCTGTCTGTATCCTGCAACTGTGCAAGAAACCCAGAGGAAAAGACTCACTGCCAAGAGAGATAGCAAGGACTGACAGGAGGACTGAGGACCATAGATGAGGAATACAGTGGAACCCTGGGAAGTGTACGACAGGCCGGCAATAACAAAGTTTCTTTAAGGGAGAGCAACAGCCAAGAACTAAACAATTGCAGTAATGTGTTAGAGAAAGAAAAGGCACAGGCAAACAAGATGACAGATGAGGAAAGGATTAAAGAAATAGGCATCATGTAACATTTTTGAAAAGAATAAAACATTTACTCTAGAAGATTATTAACATATTGCCATTGGTTTCTAACTTCTGCCAACTGGCAAGTACTGACATGATCATCTTACTGACTGCAACTGTGGATATCACTTGCATGCTTAGAAAGGAGATAATTCAACAGAATCTCTCAGTTGAGAGATTTCCAAAGTTGAACTGGTAGTACATGACTCCCAATGTATTTATAATTTGATTTTAAATCTGAAATGTATGAATTCAAATTATGGAGTCAATGGCAAAATGATCTGTGACTTCAGTGACAGTTCTATCAGGCCAAATGTTATTCTCACTACATTCTACAAGAGGGCAAAATAATAATACAAAAGAAGTCTTACCTCTAGACATCGCATTGTAGCCTGCATCTCAGCTATCTGTCGTGCCTGTACTCTTTGAACACTTTCTGCTTGCACACCACAATTGTGTCTTTCTGCTCTTAGTTCTTCTACTTCTGCTTCTAAGGCTTTTAATTTCTGACACAGTTGTGCCTTTTCTCTAGAGAGTGCCTCCACACGTTTACTGTCCTTTGTGGGATCAACACTAAGCAGCTGGTTATGGAGTTCTTCTTTATCTTTATCCAGTCTTGCAATCTGAGAGTTGTTAATCAGAAAAATAAAGCTTTTACATTGGTTAAGTGTCAAGCAGCAACAAATACAGCAGTTGACAATTCAGAAAAGAGCAGCAGTGGATACTTAAAATATTAAGAAATTACATTAGTGTTTGTTTTCTTGCTTAGAGTAGGAAAATAAAGCAAGACCACCTGACTGTCTGTAACTAGTGGGTTCTTTTTGAGATCACTAGAGAGTCCAATGTTGACTGATGTCCTCATTACAGAACTGGATGATGGGATGGGGTCAGTTTCAGCAAGTTTGTGTGTGGCACCAAACGGGGGAAATGGTCCACGCATTGGAAGGCAGAACTGCTGTTCAGAGGAATCTGGACAGGCTGAAGGAGTGGAATGGACCAGACCCTTTTCAACAAGATGAGAAAGTCATGCATCCAAGATGGAGTAACCCAGTGCAACTACACAGATTGAGTGCAACTGTCTAGGAAGCAGCTCCACTGAAAAGGATCTGGGGGTCCTAGCGGACACCAAGCTGAACATTAGTCATCAGAGTACCCTTGCAGCAAAGATGACCAATTGAATCCTGGCAGATTGGCAGAGGGATAGCTAGCAGACCCAGGGAAGTGATTCCTTGTCCCTCTCCCAGTCCTGGTAAGACTGCATCTGGAGTTAGCATCAAGTACATGAAGAAAGTGACAAACTGAATCAAGTCCAGTGGTCTCTAAGATGGTCAGGGTGTGAGGGAACATGACATATAAGGACAGGCTGAGAGAACTATGCCTCTTCAGCTTGGAGGAGATGCATGGTGATAGAAAGAGAGGGAGCAGGTACAGGCTGGAACACGTGAAATGCCAATTAGGTATTAACAAAAAAGTTTACCGTGAAGATGGTTAAATACTGAAATAGTTTGGCCAGAAAAATTGTGAAATCTCCATCCTTGCAGATGTTCAAGACTTGACTGGACATGGCCCTGAGCAACTTTTCTCATTACATTTCAATATTTTAAATAGGATTTTGGACTAGAAAGAAGCCTATTTCAACTTATATTATGATTCCACCATTTTATAACTACAACAGAACTCAAATCTGCTAATAACTCAAGACAGGCAACATGATTGGGCCCTGTCAGACAATAAAGCACAAAAAAAAAAATTTTTCTTTTACAAGGTAGTACAAACGATACAAACTAATCTGGAGACAGTAACTAACAAACATAAAATATAAAGATTGTTGTATTTCAAAATTAGTTACATGGACTGAATGCAATACTGGGGGCAAAAGAGTATGAAGTAAGGTATGTAAGAGGAGATATTTGGAGACTAGTCCAAACTCTGATCTGCAACAGTCCCTTTAGAAGTGGCACCAGCACCCTCTAAGAAGCAAAGCCGACTTCTGTAGCAAAAGCCCTCCAAATGCCTTCTATGAGGAGATTCAGACTTATTGCATGATATGCCCAAGCCATCATTTAAGAATAAGGATGTTTTTGTAGCCTCCTTGTGTTAAACGACATGGAAGGTTAAAAAGGCTTTGAGAGAAACCAGACCACACTGTGCCCTGGGCTCAAGGTAGTTTTGTTCTATGTGTGTTAATTAGCTGCAGTACTAGCACAACCTCAAGAAGCCCATGAGAGAGGTGGGCTGTAAAGCAGCATGTGGGTTTAGCTCCAGGAAGGACAAATGTTTTGTTTTTAATGCATTGCATTTGCAAACTGGGATTGAATTTGAAAGTGATGATTGCTTTGATTTGTGTCTGATGTTTGGAGTAATACATTCAAATCTGGCATCTTAGAATATATGCTCCCAGACAAATACTTAGATGAATATGCAAATGACATATGCAACACTCATTTACACTGCTGGATATATTTAAAACATAAATATGCTGGCAATTTATTTAGCTACATACACTTTTGAGAGTCCAATTCTGAAACAAATGAATGAATGGTTTATTCAAGAGTTAATGTAATTTAAATAAAGCTGCCAAAGTTTTCAGTATCCTTCTGATTATCACTGTCATGATCTAAACCTAGGGTCATAACAGGTACATCACAAAATGTACCCTTACCTGTTATCGACAATATCTTCCGGGATTAGTTGTCACATAAGTAATTTAAAATCCAAACTTACATCAGTTCCTCAGATAACTTACTAATTTCAAATTCCAACACAAAGGAGATTAAAAAAAGCATTAAGCAAACCTGCTGGCTGTCATTTACCAGAAGGCAAGTTATTCTTACTTTTAATAGCACAAATGAAACTGCAACACATAACCAAACAAACCTACAGAGGCAGCTTTAGACCAAGTCATAGAAGTGTTTTGGGAATTAAGAGAATGGAAACAAACACTGTGAAATGGTGTCAAACTGACAACTCTTCAAGTACCATCAGTTCCATAATGTTCAAGAAGCTTTGCCACCAGTTTCTTTCTATACTACTGCAATGTTCTGTGTACCTCAGCCTCATATTTTATTTTCTTCTGTTCTAAAGTACGTGCATGTTCTTCCTGTTGATGTTCAAATTCTGATTTCAGAAAAGTATGTTCATAACGAAGTTTGTTATATAGTGTCCTGTATTTTTCCACTTCCTAAGTAAGACAAAAAAAATTAAAAAAAATCAAATTTTCAGATTTACTTCCTTGAAATGTCCATGCAATATTTCTATCACTTCACAAGTTATATTTGATTAACTGAATGCCTCTTTCTCCCTATTCCACAATTTCAGTCTTCCCTGCCTGGGACAACAGTACCAGACAAAGAATGGCATACTTGCACCCCTTCCAGTTTTAATTTTCTAAGGTTTTAGTAACAACTATAAAGTGGTGATCACTACTCTAAATAAAATAGAACTCCAATACTTACTACTTGAATTTTCTACTACTTACATCTTCTAGCTTCTGATAACGTTCCCTCATAGGAGATTCCAATTCCTCCTGTATTTTTGCTTTTAAGAGTTCTAATTTTTGAGGAGTTAGCACCTTAAAACAGAGAAGCATCACAAATAACTAGTCATGTTCATTTATTTACACTGTGATAGGACAAGTAGCAAGGAATAAAGTATTTCAAACATGATTTTAGGAATTCTGGTTAATTTTCTATGTTTTTCTATGGAAATTTCAATAGTACCTACAGAAGCAAAAAAATATACTAGTGAACTAAAAATATTCTGGGAAGGTAACAGAAGCATTTAAAATGTCAATGTTTATTGGTAGAAGCAATACAAATGTCAAGCTGAATTGTCAAGAGATTTATCTCCTTTGAGGGGGAAGCATGGGAAGGAAAAGTGGTCTCACATAAAAGATAAAGAATTAGCATCTGGAAAAACTTAAACAGTAAGTGAACCAACCCCAAAAAATCAAAATGAGCAATATCAAACCAACTATTTGTAAAACTTACTAGATATGTGTTCTCCAACAGATACATGGGTACTAGTTTGAAAGAAAAGAACATCAGGAAAGATTCCCTGCCTTAAGCTCCATGCTGTACGGTATTTTGTTAAAATTACTTGGCTGTGGTTCATACACCAAACTATCTACCAAGAAGTAGTGCTTAATAAAAAGACATTTCATCCATAATCTGTGATATATTCTAATTTATTCTACATTTCTTTCTCTTATCTGTACCCTTAAGTCCCTGAAAACTAGTTCTACTTATGGTACTGAGGGGCACATCTCCTCTATTCAGAGTCTGGGATCCTGATATGTCCTACATTATTTTAAGGAAACAAGCAGTTACCTATAAAGTGTCATCCAAGTTGTCTTAAATACTGAGGGGGTTTTGTTTGGGTTGGGTTTTTTTAAGAAATAGAAGGAAAGAAGAAAGTTGTCATAATGAAGAGAAACAAATATCTATTTTTCCAGGTTTAGGCACCTAAGTTACCCTCCAAGGCAGATGATTTTCTCCTTAACAGGAGAGCAAGCATGGAGATTGAGAGTCTTACACAGCACCTAACAACAGGATTTGAAAGATTCAGTTAAACAAGAAAACAATAATTTCAACACACTAAAGAAGAACCACTTGTGTTGGGTGAATTTCAAGACACCTGAAATACATCCAAACTGGGTATATACATGTTAAACAAGCAAAAAAATATGCATGGCCCTACTACAGGATAAAAATACATATTAAGTCCTTCCAGTAAATTATCTCACCTGCATCTTCAGTTTTTCCAGCTCTTGCGATTTACCCAGCAACTGCTCTTGATATTCAGTGACAAGCTGCTGAACTTTGTCATTTGCAGTCTGTTTTTCATCTAATAACTGCTTCATTTCATCTTGTGATTTGGTATAATCACCCTGTAATCTGAAATAAAATACACATTTACTTTGTATTTACCTTCTAAAATTAGACCTTAAAGCTCAAAAACTCACATGCAGAAGCAAACACACAAACACCAAATAAGAACTAAGCTACAAATATCCTCTTCCTGTAATATACTGAATAGTTATCCCATATTTACATGCATAAAAAGTATTCCCAAAACATAATCTGCAATGTCTAAAGTTACTTAAGGTATTTTGAACTGTCTATTTTCTAATATGAACAACAGTCAAATCTGTCATTAGATACAGAAATAGCTAACATACAACACATACAAATAAATCCCTTCCAACATTTAGCTTCACATTTTAGTAGTTTAGATGAAGAAACTTGTTTAAACTGATGTACCTTTGATGTTCCGCCTTTAAAATTTGATAATTTGCTTTATGGCGTTCACTTCGCATTTTTTCATCTATCAGAAGTTTTAGTAATTCTCTTGGATTATCTGTATCATCATTTCCAATCACAGGAGGAAGGAGGCTGCCCAAACCATCCATTTTATGATGACTGTTCACGATGAGTATGGAGAAGACAAGATTAAAATTAATGTACAACTAATCTACAACACAATCCACTCTTTCTGCTGACATCTCAGAAGATCAAGACCCTGAACAAATACAAAGACACGTACTTAGCATTCAAGCACATTCACAGTTCAAAGGTTTCACACACTGCTTTTGCTTTGAGTACAGAAGAATCCTGGTTCTGCCATAACTCAGGTTAGAAACCTGTACTGAAAGTGCAACTCTTGCCTGCTCATTCTGCCTTCCCTGAGAAGTAACAGTCCTTCCAGGGCACAGAATAAACTTAAACACGGAGATCATTTGAGTCAATACAAAACAAGCACAGGCGCTTCTATCTGACAGATTACATGAAATGGTATTTCTACTTACACTATACACTGAGACTCCAACTATGATGCTAGTAATGCCCTAATTATGCCTTGGTAGTCAGAGTTCAAGCAGAGGCCACAGACATCAGGCACATACAGCTTTTCCTACTACTTATCAAAGTCAAAGTTGTCACGTCCTAATAGGCTGTACTCCTCAATGCACCATCCTTTCTGCAGGCAGAAGAGGAGATAATTCTCTCTGCTGAATTCCTATGAAGCCCTCTCTGGAGAAGAGTTAAGGTTTCAGGGACAGCCTGGAAGACACCTGCCTGCAGTTCAGTCCTGAAATATATCATTGCTATATGTCACTTTCTCATTTTCAGTTTATCTTGTGGTTTCTTGTGACCTTTCCAGAAAGTAATCTGTGAAACATGACAATATCAGATTGGTGTGAGGAATGCTGCAAATCGACAGTTGCTGAGGAATGAGGAAGTATCCTAATATACCTCATTAGTGCCTTCTGATGTTAGAAGCAATGTGTATTAATGTGAACATTACTGACACTGACACAGGATCTGGGGGAGGGAGGACTGTAACTGAATTTTAGGGAAGTTACAAAGCCTTGAAACCAACGACTCTGCCATTTTAGCTTTTCCCATAGCTGACTGATGCCTAAAAACTCCACGGCAGCAGTGTGCAAAGTGTAACTTTGAACAAAATAAAACTCAAACAGAAACTATGTTAAAACTCTGGCATCGCTGCAATACCTCACTTCCTTTATAGGCACAGTTGAATTTTCTACGATTCCACTCTTCAAATCTTTCATGGATCTATACCTTAAACACTTAAAATTGGATTTTATAAACCCCTGAACTCTAAGCAAGATGAAAATCTATCTTCCATAAGGAAAAATAAACATCACATGTCAGTGCCCATTCCACTAAAAGACATGATAATGTCAAGGAAGTCTTATATTTAAAATTTCTTTCCCATTTTTCCTTCCTCCATCACTAAGATTAGAAAAGCTCAGAGGAAAATCTACCACTTGGAACACTAGTATAGGCAAAGCAAGACAAGCAACTTTGTATTCTGCTTTACCCAAATTTGCTAAGATAATGAAAAGGAAGAAATCAGAACAGAGGAAGAAATCAGAATAAAGAATAGTATCCTCCATGACTGTCCTATATGCACAACCAACTTCAAACATTAATGACATAAGTTCTGAAGAACCTCCTAATCAATCCAGTCTCTATTTTTCCTTCCTGAATTATGTTGGTTGTTTAGAACTAAGGACAAGAGCAATTTCCAAACTCAATATAATGACGTTTTCAATTGTTAACCCAAGAGCTGCATGAGGAGAACTGGACAGTGATGCTAAGGACAATAAATCACATGAGATGACAGAAAGTTCTCCCTAAGAATTTCTAAGCACATCAACATGGTTAACATTATCACTGTTAAAACAAACCAAAAAATAACAACAAAAAACCTAAACAACATCCAGGCAATAATACTTTTCTCTCTCTCAAATCATAAGCTAGAGATAATAAATACCAAACTGTAAGCCAAAGCTCAGAATTAGGAACACAGAGCTTAAAGTCAGGTCTGAATCCTGACACTTACTTGAGTAAGAAGTATTTCTGAAGCGGTATAACAGATCTAAGTCAAAGACACTAAAAAAATCCTACATTTTCTGAGGGCATGTCAGCCAAAAGATAAACTGAAATGCAACCTTTTGTATGCAATTCCAAGCAGGTGAGAGGTACCTTTTCTCCTCACAGCTTTTGCCTCTATCAAAAAGTGCACAAATTACAAAGCAAGACACACACCTGGCCACGTGTTCATATGCACAAACATTTCATGAAAAAAGGAGACAAGAGAGGGAGATAATTGTAGCCTGCAAAATAATGGTTTCAGACTGCAAAAACCTAAGTTGCATGTATTTAAGGAAACAAAACTATTCTGGCTTTCAGGGACATCTAGTGGCAAATTTCATGACCTGCATTCCTGGTGACAACTGAGAAAAAGACAGCAGAGATTTCAACACTTCCTGAGAGTTCTTTCCTCGAAATCACTGATAGCAACTTCTAACATTTCACCTATTCACAATCTTACAAATAAAAAAGTTTTTTCATTTGTTTGGTTTGGGATTTTTTTTCCCAAATAATAAGATTATTTCTGGCAGTGAACTGTCAATAGTCAACATCATTTGGGTCTACAAATATTGTAAGTAGATCACCAATAAGAATTTCTGCTGCACTAATGGCTCACAGTACTTGTTCACAGTCAGTGAACAGACCTTAAATAATCTTCAAAATTACACAAAACTGCACTGGTAATTTTTGAGAAATCCTTTAAAGAAACACTTTGTTAACATTTCTTCCTCTCCTGGAGATCTGTTCAAGTAGAGAATCATAAAATATCTTTAAAGAAACTAAAATCACATCATATATAAAGTTAATTCTATACCTACATATTTGCCAAATGTTATCACACTACTGAAATTTTAACAGTTGCCCTGAACTTATACTATGAAACCTTACCATCATTTTCCACAGGTATACATATAAAGGTATTGGTGGAGAATCCTGAAACCTAGGAAATGCACACTCTGTAGGTAAAATAGCATATTTATGGTAGAACAGCTAAGTGAAGTAACTCAATTACACTTCCAAGAATCACCTTTGTTTTGCCTTTCTTCTCCAATTATTTATTTTCATACAGAGAGAAACATTGCTGAATAACCTACTTCACATCTCTCCTCTTTACATCTACACATCATGAAAGGGCTTTTCTTCTTTTACAAGATTTTTCAGCTTTTTTATTTTAACTTTTTGTTTGCTACAAGCTCTTAAAATAGTGAGAATACTTGCATTTAGAGAAAAATATTATGATACGAATATAATTTTATTTCTTTATATTAAATTTTTTATGGTATTTTGTTTACAACAACAAGGTTTCCTTCTCACTTACCTTGCATAACTAAATGACATGACTGCAGCATGTACTGCTATTTCACCTGAGTGCCATACATATCTCACTCATGGCTCTCCTTTCCACACCACAGCTACACTTACATTTATCATGTTTGAACACTATTCTGCAGTTAGATGATATGAGGAATATAATTTTGCAACTATTGATGAAAAACCAACAGTATTAGCCTTGTGCCATGTTTTGTTCAAGCAATAAAGTTCTTAGTAAAATCTGTGAAAGTCAAAGAGCTGTTTCACACAATGTATGGTCTAATCCCTCTGCCTGCTTCTGTCAGAACCTCAGATCTCTTTATATGCTCTTTCTTTTTCTGTAATAAAATCAGCCAAGGTCTTGTGAAGCAATAAACTATTTACCTGAAAGAGTGAGACACTCAAAGAAAGCACAGCCTCAGAAAGCTACTTCAAACACCACCCCCTTCTCATTCCTGCTCAAGAGTCTACAGTAAGACTAGATAATGAACTCATGAAAAAATGTAATCCAATACCAGAGCTCAGTGTCACCGGGAATGGGAGGTTCCACTCCTCATTTCTTTATCCCCATTCCTACACTTGTCCTTCATCAGACCCTTCCATGAACTGTTTTAACTCAAGAAGCCAACACACTCAAAGAAGGAGACAACAGTCAATAGTTTTTCTGTGAGGTCAGCAAGTCACACAGGCTCATGGAAAAATCCAGCAAGCTACATCATCAGTGAAAGTAGGCAGCTGGTACTGGCTAGGGGAAAGGAACAAAGAGCCCAGTAAACAGACAGGAGGAGGAGCAAGCCTTTCTCCCCATGAGCTCAGATGTTCACAAAGTCACAGCCTTAGATTAGATACCCAGATTTTAGACATTTAAAGTTAAGTGAAACAAATCCTATCTTAAACAACTATGCAACCCACTCATGAGAGATCAGATTTCCCATGAATATCAAGTGTATAAAAAAAATACCCCCCAAAATTATATATAATTTGAGAAATATTATATCTTACCTTGTATTACTTTAACAATCCATATTCTACTAATTCATCATCAGCAACTTGGAGTAGCCAAAGCAATCACCTTAAGAAAGATATATATATATATATGGAGGTAAAAACATCAATGAGAAACATGAAAACCTTCATTGTAGAAAATTTCATAACCTAGACATTGCTCAGATATGACTGTAGAGAATCCAGTGAAAATAAACACTTAACACCTTGGCACACCAAAGTGAAGAACTTTTGGAGAACATCTGTATGAATTCTACATTACAGAACACATCAATCCCATGCAAACTACTATCACTCCCTCCACAACACTGTTCAAGGCACAAATTTCAACAACAATTTATCATACATTATTTCAGTGTCCATCCTCATACATGGTACCACCCTCTCAATTTCTGTCTTATTCTACAGAAAGATTATTTGTTAGGTGAAAAACAATGAAAAAGGTTGTCTCTTAACTCAGGGTTAAAATTTGTGCTTTAGCCACATACACTACCAAGTCAGACTTGGTAGCTTGACAGCAGTTTCACTGATCAAAGTGAAATGTTGTGAATTACAGCTCGTAAATCCAGCTGTACTCAAGAGCAGCCAGTCTACACATGCTATGTATGTTTTCTACTATTTTCTCATGAAAAGAAACCTTCAAATACAAATGAGAAACTTTTGGTCACTATAATCTCATTCAAAGTTCTAGTCGGGCACAGAGACGACTGCTTTTTGCAAATAGTTCAATAGTCCACAACCAAAACTCTTCTGAAAAATCAGTCCCCTTTCATATTGGCTTAAAAATCGAGATATGCAGGCAGGGCACAGGTTTCATGTTAGTATATGTATACCACTCCTCCTGTAGGCAGGAACATGATTATATACACCCTACAGTATGTGGATGAAGATCGTGTGAGAGGCCAAGTGAGTCGTTTAAGTCACCACGATCTTTTTACTGGTAATTTTCCCGAGTCATGGACATAGGAGCTCGGTCAGAGGAACAACGGTAACAGGGGTGCCACACACCAGGAAAAACAATCATTACTCTCCATCCGCCAGTGGCTGAGGATCGCTGGTGGAAACGAAAGCAGGCAAACGCAAAGACTGGAAAACCTGGCAGCGACAGGGCTCTGAACTGTGCTCTGGGCTTGCGCCGGGCGACTCCGAACCCACCGGCCCACGGCCAGCCCGCAGAGGCCGCAGCAGGCTGCTCCCAGCAGCCGGAATAGCAGGCACAGGCGAGGGCGCTCTGGGACGGGCTGGGATCGGCTCCGGCTGCGCCGTGACCAACGGCCGGGGAGGAGCGCGGGGCCGGGGCAGAGGCCGAAGGGCCTCCCTTCGCCGGGAGGGGAAGCTCCGGGCACGTAGAAGGGCCTCGGTCAGCCCGGCGCACCCTCACAGCCCGGCCTCACTCCCACAGCCCGGTCGCCTTCTCACGGCCGAGCCCCACTCCCACAGCCCGGTCCCCCGTTCACAGCCCGGTCCCCCGTTCACAGCCCG